GAGGCATGACAGACGAGGACAAGTTTGTAGTATTTTCAGAGACCACCTTTTTTACTGATGTAAACCAATGTAAATTTTGTTGTTTTTGTTCTTCAAAGGCTTGTTTTGTAATATTACTGTCTGGTAAGGCACTAATACGATACAAGTATTTAATAAGATTTTCCTGAATATCTACGAGTAATGGAAATTCAGCTTCACAAGCTGCATTTATGAGAATTTATTCACACCTAGTATTTGTTTGCAGAATTTCAAATGTTCGATTTGGTGTTTTGTCCCATCTATTATTGTTTAGTATGTCATGTCCCCAAGTTGTTGATCCATATAACAAATTTATTTCAATACATATCTGAAAAAGGTGCATAAATGTTCTACAGTCAGTCTCTCTTGGCATTGCTTTCAACAGTGCATACATTGCTCTAGTAGCTTTGTCTGCTAAACGTTTTTTTTCTTGGAACTTTCTGTTTGATTGTAAAGTTATACCTAAATAAATATAAGAATTGACACAACTTATATTTTGTTCTTGGAATTGAAATAACTCTCTCTTTCTCATTGCTCCCTTTTTGAAAATCATAACTTTGGTTTTATTAAGATTTACCGGGTGTTTCCATTTGTGGCAGTATTCAGATAATTTATTTAATGCATTTTGCAAACCTAATTGTGTTGTTGAAATCAATACTAATTCATCTGCATAAAATAGAGAGTTAATTTTATAATTATTTAATGTTACCTGGTTTACTGAATCATTTAATGTGTCATTCAAGTCATTAACATAAAGATTAAAAAGCATTGGACTTATAGTACATCCCTGTCTCACACCTTTATTTGTATTAAATATTGGAGATATTGTGTTGCCAAAGCGAATACATGTTTCAGTATTGTTATACATATCACAGGGAATGATGTATTTTTTATATGTATATAAATTTGACCCAGGAATTAAATTATCCATGTCATCATTGTTCTGTGATAGGTATTTTTGATGTTTCGAAATCTTTCACTTACAGGTAACCGGGATTCGATTGTTCTCCACGTTAGACTCACAAAAAACACACGCACAAGCTCGATTCGCGTCACATTTGATTCTCTACTGCCTCTTCTTTCTTCCCGAGACAGCTTCAAATCACCTTTATTACTAGTCAACCATTAGCCAATTACAATACAGTACAAGTGACTTTGAGGCGTTGCCTCCAAACAAACAGCCAATCACACGAAAGTTTTACACATCATAATACAATTGATTAATCGTCACTATCATACATGTATCGTCAACGTCAGTTTATATTTATGGGTACTAATGGTCTTGCAATAACATTCCACAGTTGACATCAATATACATCATTCGTTCTGGACTACGACCAAGACATCGCATAAGCTTGAAATCGCAAACATCATTAGTTTTGGTCTACGACTAAAGCACCGCATAAGCTTTAAATCGCAAACTCATGAGAATGTGTCGTCTGGTCTCGACCAGTTCCGTCATCTGGCCTCACCATTTAACTTTTATCAGTATATGTCATGGCAACCACTATTAAGCCGACTGGCCTCATCATTTAACCTTTATCAGTAGATGCCATGGCAACCACTATTAAACCGAAGTATAAATCATGATAGTTCTCATAGTCAGCTAAGAACCTACTCTGCTATTAAAGTCCACAAGAATGGCAATAGTACCATTGAATGAAAAGTTTGTAATATGGTTGTCTAACCGTTCAAAAAAGTCTGGTTTACAATGTTTAGAGTTGAAGGGTAGGTGGTATACAAACAGATATACATGTCTTTTTCCAATTGAAAAAAGTTTTTTTTTCCAGTTGGCACCATTTCATTTCTGATTGTGTCTGCTCAATTCTTATGCCTTTTCTCAGTTGTTTTATTAATGGAAAGATACCTCCTCTAGATTTGTTTTTTCTTGATACTAAATAAGTATAATACCAGAATTGCTTTATGTTATTTCCATGTGTGACGAAAGCAAAAAAAAAGTATTTTACCAACTTGACTACAATCGAAAATATTTTATTAAAATCACGTTCAAACTTTCTTGAACATTATAGCAATCTTTATGATATTCTACAAAATTGTTTGTCATCACAAGTAACGAACATTTAACTGAAATATGTTATTTCAATGTGTGTAACAAAATACAAAAAAAATAGTTCCACTAGGTGAATTGCTCAGGTCTCTCCCGTGCAAGTACTTACCACTACCGCGGAAGCTTAATATTTCGTACCGGCCGATCTCTCGACCACTCTGCTGAAGAGGTATGATAAATTTGTTTCTAATTGTTGGCCATTTAATGTTTGCAAATGTTTCAAAATGTATATTTGTAGCACTTGATGTTTTGGATTTGACCCATGATGTTTACATGCTCATGAATACAATGCATTTCATATGATGGGTTTATAAAAAACTCTTAAGCCAAATTTCCCAATCAAACCTAGCAACATTGCAATCGCTTTGCAAAACTTTGAACTCTATTTCTTAACATTATCAAGTTAGTTCGCATGGTAGTCTATTTAAATATGATTTTGGCTTGCTTTTACTTGACTTTTGAATAATTTTCAAAACTTATAACTGCGGGGTTCAGAAGGACAACCACTTACGCTAACTTTTTGATCACTTTTTAAAACTGTGTACAGTAGTTGTTATCATTGAGCTCGCTTTACAACTTATTATCACATATAGGGCTTTTATTTGACTTTTGAATAATTTGTCTAAACTTTTACTGCAGGGTTTGGTAAGACAGCCACTTAGGTAAATTTTGCACACATATCTACTATGAACGATTTTTTCAACAGGCTAGACCCACCCTTACGTGCACATTTTCAAATTTCCTTGAACATTATTTGAGGCTGGTGTCACTTAGCTGGATTTCCATGTAACTTTACCAGCTTTGCAAGCTTTATACGTAAATTTACCAACATATCAGACAACTTTGCAGGCATTTCATCTTCGCAGGATTTCCACGTCGTGTTATCACCTTTGCAAGCAACTTCACAGGCTTTCCTTGCAAATTAATCAACCTCGCTTGCCAAGTCAGGATTTCCACACGACTTTCCCAACTTTTCACAAAATCTTGCAGGCTTTTTATGTAAATTAACAAAGCTTGCAGACAACATCATGAGCCTCTAATGTAACGTTATCAACTATGTACAGCTCTTCTGTCTTTCCATGCAACTTTAACAGCATTGCAAGCTTTCTACGTAAATTCCAACTTTGCTCATAACTTTGCGGTCTTTCAATGCAACATTATTGGTTCTTATAACAACCATGTACGAAACATTAAAGGCAGTTTTTCCCATAACACAATTTTACCAACATTTCAGGTAAATTTGCAGGCATTATACATAACTTTACCGACTTTATACACAAGTTTACAGGCTTTCAACACACCTTCACGAACTTTGCACAGCTTTCCACATAACATTAAAGAATGTCATGCCTCTTTATCAGCTTAGCATGTAACTTTGCAATGTTTCTACATAATTTACCAACTTTTCATGCAACTATACCAACTATGCACGAGTCTTGTTTGAAGCGAGACGAATATCAATTA